CCTTACTCTTCACACCGAGCCCTTTGTGGGCTGTTTGGCTGGAGCAGCATAGAAATTATTGCCCCTTGCATGACCTTCATTCTATTTGGTCGAGTCTGTTGTTTGTTACGGGGACTTTACTATATTTCACGCGTATATCGAAGTATGTATACCTGCTTTACTCAATCATTCATACCCGATCCCATCTTGTTGCATCATGCTATATCTGAGTAAACTTCAAGAAGAGAAGAAAATCTATACCTGTATTATAGAGTAGCTATGTTTTGCAGATATGATCAAGAATTTACTCTCAACTCTTTTTGGTGCTATATAACAGCATTTTCCTGGATACTATCAATTTGGTTGTGCAGATAGTGATATTTCTGAAATTTGGGGTTTTGCAGGTCCAGTAATGTATGCTTTTTTATGTTTCTCAGTTGGAATATAAAAACAAACTATTATTGAAGAAGTTTCATAAGGACTAGAACAGATTATGCATGAATGAAAGTTGTTGAAGCTTGAAAGATAGATTTACGATGTAGCATACTAGCATTAGGCCAGATTTATTTTCTTCCCGAGCTCGACCCAAGTAGATGAAAATATTTTGTCACGCACTGTGCCAATCCTAGTGGAGTTTCTTGAAAGCCCATCTCACAATCCGAGTCCACTAGTTCAGGAAGCCTCTGCATACTGCTTGAAATGCATTGCTGTATAGGAGAAGGCCAACTAGCCATTCTTATTGGGCAATCAGGTGCCATTCCCATCCTTCTGAGAGTATTACCAAATTCTGATGAGAGTTTTCGGAAAGGTTTATTAAAATGCCTCCGAACTGTTGTTACATTTGAGGAACCAAATCGCTTGATTATAGCTAGTAATGGTGGAACTGAGATTGTTCTTAATATGCTGGATTCCTGCTCAGATGATTCAATGTTAATTTTGTTAGAAATCTTGAGTGCATTAACTCTTAAAAGACAGGTTAGAAAGCTCATTCTCAGTTCAGGTGGTGTCTGGTTTCTTGTTGAATCTGCTAGGGTAGGCTGCTTGATTTCTAGAGGTCGAATTGCCCAAGCAATTGGCTCACTTGGATTAATTAAAAGAGCAAGGCGAGACTTGTCAATGCTGGTGCAATACCAGTGCTTATGCAATTAATAAACGATGGGGAAATGTCAATGAAATTGGTGACTACTAATGCACTTGGTGTTATCTTAACTGATGTTGATAACATTTGGCCCATTGCTGAATCAGGAGTCATTCCTCTGTGCACCGAGTTACATGAGGGGTTGGATCCCATTGGCAGGGAGATTGCTGGGTATGTATTGCATACATTAGCTATGTTAAACAAAATGTGTTTGCAATGGTGAAACAAAATTTGTAGGAGGTGATATTTTGCATCATCTCTTGGATTGTCACAAGCACTTCCTGCCCTTCCTATTTAGGAGCCCTTTCTGGTTGGCAGTTGTTATAAGATAGGATAACATACGTCGTGCATGTAAACAAATTAAGA